TCACCTATTGCTTGGCACCAAGGGGAGTCTCAAATTAAATGGCTCAAAGGCATTTTTTTTCCCTGCTTTACAATTTGGCCATCTTTCCCCTCATGCTGTAAAACCTCCAATAGTTTGGAATTTATGAGCCTTTGGACAGGGACTGGGCTCCAGTCAGCTTCTGGAGTATTCTGCATGGAAAGGATTTTTGAAGAAAATTAATAGCTTGCCAAACAAATAGCAAAAGGAAGGCACACTCTACTTAAGGGGGGGCTGCTGCTCTAGCCCTTAACAAACACTCACGCATCCGCCAACAATTCATATGCTAATTCCTAATGATTTTTACATGTTCATTAAGTCCCTGGCTCTGGCTATTTATCGATATGATTATTATGGTTTGAGCTACTTCAAAGGCTAGGTTTTCGCTGATCCGGGAACTTCTTAGGTACAAACTTTTTGAGGCTGAGTGATTAACAAAGGAATTAAAGGAACACCTAACAATGTGACTCTCCTTCTTTGTGGGTGTAAGAGAGAGGTCTCCCTGTAGGTCGTTGATCTTATTGACTCCTGGGGAGGGAGGGGGGGGTTCCTGCCAGGTCCTAGAAGGTGAGGTTTGATTGTGCTGATTCTTGTTTTGGTTTTCTTAAGATCATCCCTGTTAGAATTTCCATTCTAAATAGTTACTCACATTCCTGCCTCCCTCCCTCTCTCCTTCTCTCCCGCCCCTCCCCCTCTTCCTTTTCCTCTGTTCTACTCAGCTTCAGCTGTCAACTTGACACATCCCAGAGCCACCTGGGAAGAGGCAATCTCAATTTAGGAACTGCCTCCATCAGATTGGCCTGTAGGCAAGACCTGTGGGGGCATTTTCTTGATTAATGACTGGTAAGGAAGGGTACAGACTACTATGGGTGGTGCCATCCCTGGGCTGGTGGTCCTGGGTTCTATAAGAAGCAGGCTGAGCAAGTCATAAGGAGCAAGCCAATAAGCAGCATCCCTCCATGACCTCTGCATCAGTTCCTGCCTCCAGGTTCCTGTGTTGAGTTCCTGTCCTGACTTCCCTCAGTGATGGAGTGTGACTTGGGAATGTAAGAGGAAACATACTCTTTCCCCCAATGTCGCATATGGTCAGTGTTTTATAACCGCAACAGAGGAGCAAATTAAAATGCCCCTTTTCTGTCTCCTCCTCTTGGTTTCTTTCTTACTTTTCCTTCCTTTCTCTCCATCCCCTCCCTCAGGGTCTCACCCAGGCTGGTGCTGAACTCACAAATCCTCCTGCTTCAATGACCTGAATGCTGACACTACACGTGTCCACCACTAAGCCTGGGTTTCCTCTTTTGTTCTTAAAGAATTATTGATGTGAACTATAAATTATTTAATTGCTATAGATTTGATAAAAACTTGGAATGAGATTACGGTATTTAAAAAAGGGGGAGGGGGAGTTTAAGCCTGCCAATCCCCATGTTTCCTATACAAACCAAAGGCTGTTCTATAAGGTGTTTACGGATCACTTAGGAATCCAGATACTACTTCCCTGTGCCCCACCCCCAACTCAACAGCCAGAGAGGAAAAGAGTGAACCTTCCATGCTGGTTAATCTCAGTTGTCAATTTAATGAGAGCTAGCATCACCAGAAGGTGGGCCTCTGGGCATGCCCATGGGAAATGATCTTGATTAGGTTAATGGAAGTGGGAAAACCACCACTGTGGGTGACACCATTCCCTAGGTTGCTGCTCTATCAGGAAATGGCTGAGCCTGAGTGTTATCACTCTGTCCCTGGCTATGGATTCAATATGATCAGTTGTCTAAAGCTCCCACTCTGTTGTTCTAAACTCTTGAACTATGAGCTGAAATAAACCCTTTCTCCCTTGAGTTGCTTTTGGGGGGTTATTTTATCCCAGTAACAGGAAGAAATATTAAGCCACTTACATGGAGGGGGAACTATGGGTCATGCCAACTTGACCTCCTACATATTCATTTCACCTCAATGTAGTAGCTGTCCAGAGCTGAACTTCCATGATGTCAATTGTTAGCATTGTTTGAGGGAGAAAAGAAACAGAACTGGAGACTTTGCGTTTTCCTTTAGGCACCGTGAGCTTCCTTATAGGACAAAGGTCTATGGAGCAAACACCGTGTGCCACACATGGCAGATTTTCACCTGGCTCAGTCCTCACACAGGCTGAGGCAGTGATAGGTACAGATTCTATTTCCATGTCCCGTGAGGTGAAGGTTCTAGTTCAGGATCCCAGGTTGTCTGACGCTCCCATCGGCACTTAAGCAACCACTACAGTCTATGGCATCTCACTGTGCTCTGCCTGACATTTGAGTCAGACATCCGCTGGAAATTTGATAACATGATAAAACTCTTGCCTCATCAAGAATGCCTCACACGGGGGTGGGGGGTGTGGAGGAGAAGAAGGGAGGAGCCAGGGAGAGAGGGGGTTCTGCTTATAAAGCAGTTGTCTGTCGTATGCACGTTGCTGTGGAATCAACAACTTAAAATGCATACCTCAGTCCTGGCGTTAAATTATCTTCAGCCATAGACTTAAGATATCCTGGGGGAGGCTCATCCAGGGGAGGGACCCTCATCTACAATCAAATATTAAGTGTGTAACAAACAGGATTGGCTAGTGGCTCACCCACGCCTCCCCCATCTTCCCACAGGCATGGATTGTGCCGATCCTCTGACTGAGCCGGGCTTGGCTCAAACAGCTAAACATTTCTAATGAGAACAAGTCTGTAGCTTGTCTCAAAAAGAGTCACCAAGGCTCCGCTGAAGCTATGCGGCATCTTTCTCCTTTTTCCTCCTAAGAGCTCGGCTCTGGAAAGATGACATTTCTACCCTCCCGGTGACACAGAACACTGGAAGGGAACCGGAACTGACCATCACTGCAGGCAGCTGATGTCGGTGAGAATGGGGATGATTCAGGTCTTACGGTTAGTCTGTTGACACAAAACTAAGCCCAGGCCTTTCTGGGGACTTGGATATAAATGCTCCCTGCAATCTCTACCCGAAATGTGTTCTACAGGGAGGAGCCACCAATCATAGAAATATTCTTGCAAATTATCAATCAAGAGCATATGGAACTCTGGCATAAACTTCAAGGGTGCTGTCCAGGGGAATAGAAACCCAGGACATTAAAACACATCAAGGGTGAGAAAGGGTATACGAAACTCTCGTAAAAGTCACACACAGATGAAATTAAAATGAATAAAAGCTGTAGGACTAGGCTATCCCTCAGTCAATTCATATGACTGAAGCTATTGGCGAGAAAATGGTATGTTGGTAGAATCAGACAGACAGTCAGACAGACAGACAGACAGACAGGGAGGCAGAACCATGAAGGTCCCAAGTGTGGTAATATCAGGGACACTTTTCTAAATTAAAACAGCATCAAGAACCTGCTTTCCTCCCCCCAATGTACCCCTAAAATAGACAAGACTGTGGACCAAATACTTCTGTCGCCAGACGAATTCCCCCTGGTTCCTCCAGCAAGCCCGTTTTCTCCGGCCCGTGCAGCTCTGGTGTGCCAACATTGGAAGCAGGAAGGTGAAGCCGGTGGCAGAGGACCAGGAGGAGAACAGCGCTGACGTCAAACTCTCTACAAAGAACCTCTGAGCAAGCAGACGCACACCAGCTTTAATGACATTTGATGTCATTGTCCGTCCCCCCCCCCCCCCCATCACCTCTCCAGCCCGTATCAGCGGGCTTCCCCCTTCTCCTGTGCATAAGCTGGCCTCTGCTCACAGGCTCTACATTCTGCTGGTCCTTCCTGCTTCCGGTCCATGCGTTCCCCCGCATAGGCTGCTCCATTTGTCTAAAGACCTGTTTGAGCCTCAGTCAGAACAAAGAAAAGTTCCTGGGTGTGGGTGTGAGTTTGCTCTTCTCAGATATATATATATTTTTTTCTCCAGTCAACCTTCGCCGTCCCCACACTTGCTGGAAAGTCAGACTTAGTTGCTTCAGACCAGGCATTCTGTCAGCGACTCTTTCCCAGACATGTTTTCAATCTATTCCCAAATGCAGCCTGCCAGGATTAATCAGTCCTGCCTGTGGTCCCCCCAGATCCACTTCTTTCCTTTAACTCTCAGAACCGCTCAGCCAGCAGTACCAAGAGATGGGTTTTCATACAGCCTTGATTTTTCCTGACAGAGGGCACAGCCTTCATCTCAAACTCCTCTAAATCTAACAAGCTAAGAAAACATTGGGTTTTTCTCTGCCGTGGAGGGCTTCTGTGCCCCCCCCAACCTCCTCCTCACCCTGCACCCTGTTCTCGTCTTCTCCTGCATTTTATTTCTTCCCTTATTCTCCCCTCTGGTCTTTTTTTTTTTTTTTTGCCAACACCCCAGGACCACAACTCATTCCAAAGTTCAAAGTCACCAGATTCCTAAAAAAAAAAAATAAATAAAACTTCTACAATTACCTTCTCGCTGACTTTGAGCTCAGAGTCTTGGTTTCGGATGCTGGAGAGGAAAAAATTCAACACCAGCAGCAGCAGCCTCAGCTAAGCCTGGAGGAGGGTGCTGTTTGGAGTGTATTTGGAGGAATAGCATATGGGCTTTTGTCAGAGCCCACTAGTTTCTGAGCTGAGGGTTAAAATACACTCTCTGAACACTGTCCGTGCTGAGTTCCTGTTTTGTACAGCACCCCTCGCCCAACACTGCAAATCCACCACTGCTTTGCACCTCCCTGACCTATGAGCTTCGTGATAGCTAGAAAAGTTTTCAGTCAAGTACATACCCGAGCCACACCGCCCACCCTAAGAAAGCAAAGGGGTTTTGCCTAGGAGGTGTGGAGTCTGTGGGAGTGCAGTTCCCCGCCAAAGAATTCTTGTCCCTTTTCAACAGCCTCTTCCTTACCCAAGCGAATATTTCCCATGTTCCAGCGTGAGATACTGGGCATGACAGACATAGTCCAGGCACCCTGGCTCAGTTGCCTGCGTCCACCTGTCAAGATTCTGGGGCACAGGCAAGAAAAGGGGGGGGACCTTCCAGTTGTCCCCAACTCACAAACGAGGTCATTACCTTGGCAGTGGCTTTCGGGCTGTGATACTGGCAACGATGATGCTCTCGGGACGTGGAGTGGCCACCGCTTTGAAGGTCCCTTTCCAGAACTTCTCAAACAGCTGTTTCTCGCCCTGCTGCAGGCTCGCCATCCTGAAAAGCCCAAGGAGTCCGGGAGACCGGGGGCGCTGTCCGAAGTGCTGAAACGTGGATTCCAAACCGGTTGACACGCCCTGGGCTCCCCGGGGCGCTGTCCGCGTGAAACCCCAAGGGGTGGGGTGGGAAAAGATCAGAGTTCTGGGCGGGGGATGGGATAGAATGGGACGGACGTCTCGAGCTGGCCAGGCAGCCTCCTGGTGGTCCCTCGGCTGGGTTCACCTCCTGGCTTGGCTCTGAGCTGCGCTGGGAGCCGCCGGCTGAGCTCCGCGTCCTCAGCAAAGCAGAGCTGGGCCGGCTTTCTCTACCGCGCAGAGAACAGAGAGGAGGCGACCGGGGCGTCTGCCGTGCGTGCGCGTGTGAGCTCCAGCGCGCCCGGGTTTTGTCTCTTGCACAATGTGACGTTGGGAGAGGAGGCTGGTCGCGCGAGCTGTACTTTCCTCCCTCCCCTTCGCGGTCTCCTCCTTCCCCAGCAACCCCTCCTTCTGTGGCTCAGCCTCCCGCCGCCATCTGCATAACAAAAGCCCGCAGGTCTAGGGAGGAGAAAGGGCGGGGCGTGCGCTTGTCTCCAAGGCCCGGTGGCCACTGAGTTGCTATTCTGACCCCTCTGAGAAGAGACCCAAGCACCCGGAACAGAACCAAGCTGGAGATCCTCAGGCCCAGCCCTCACCCCTCCTCCGTTGTCGCAGGCCTTCCCCTCAACCCTTGCATGCGCACTCCCGGGGCTGGGCCACCTCCCTATCCCTTTGCAAGACTCTGGAGCGCATCTTCCATTGAGGGAGCTAGTAAAAACAGCCCCACCTATCCGCCCACGCCAACCTGCCTTCAACCTTCCCCGCTTCTGGGAAGGACTGCTGAGCTCTGCAAAGTGGGGGTGCCCCTATGTTCCTCTTTATGCCTGGGGGCCGTGGGCTCCCCGCGTCCCCCATCCAGAAAATGCCATTTGATGGACAATCCGTCGCCAGCGCGGTTCCTCGCCATCTGTCGAGCCGGCCCCCACCCGCAGAGGGTCGCAGCGTCACATCTGTGCCTGCGGCGCTGTTAAAGGGTATCTCTTTTGTGCCTTGCAGCGGGCCTGCCTCGCGTCCCCGCTGCCAAAGCCCGCACCCCTCCCCCACCCCTCCTCCCCACCCCCTGAGAACCCGCAGCTTGTGTGTGGAGCAGCAGTCCGATTTGGCAAAGAAAGCACTGGGGTGGGGATGGGGGTGTGGGGGGGGTGTTTGAGGGTTACAAGGAGTTAGTAACTTTTTGGTTTTCCATTTTCTGCCTCCCCCCCCCTCGCCCCAATCCCAGCAGAGGCTCAGAATCTTAAACTCCAGAAACACAGGATGTAGACAACAATGTCTCTCGTTTTACCGTAGGGTTCTCCCGGGGGATCATTTCCCAGTGGGATCCTCCAGCCCATTTCTCCCTTTGGAGCCTTTCAATACTTGGTATAGTAACCACTTTCGCCTACCTCCAGAGTTTGAAACTCCTAGACGGAACCTTCACTAAGTCCTAGGGACCTCCAAACACTGACACCAGGTCCCACCCCGAAGAGGGGGAGAAAAAAAAAAACCCCTTTATTCTTGTAGACCTAGTAGCAGTGTGGACCGAAGTCCCCAACATCAGTGTGGACTTTGTACATTCTTTGCAAGAGAATAGGAGGTGTAAAAGATGAAGAGGAGAGAGAACAGGATAGGGCAAGAAAAACCAGAACACGGGAATAAAGGTCTGGTCTGGAAACGGCTAACAGGATGGGTTTTTTTGTGCGATGGACGGCTGTGTTCTGGTTTAGGAGTGCCTGGGGCTCTGCTTGCTCCGCAGTGACCCCTTCTGGTCAATAACTAGAAGTGCATCTGTTGGCTTTAAAGGGGGTAGAGGGGCCAGGAGTTGAGATTGGGATTGGGAGAGTTGAGAATACAGGAAAGAAAGTTGGGGAGTGGACTCTCCACTTCCCTCTCCCTGATCCGCTGTATTCAAATTCCCCATCCTTAGACTGCTTGTAGGGCCTATTGCCCTTCCTTGGGTTGCTGTCCCTTCTTAGCCTTGGATATTTAAAGAGATCCTTAGTCATGACATTTGGGTATGAACTGAGTCACTTCTGGGAATCAGAGGTAGATGGGACCTTACTTCCACCAATCAACCTTTCAGAGGTGTGCCTGCCCTCTAGTAAAAAGGATTTATTTTATCTTTAGTGTGGAAGTGTGTAGTGGATGCCACATGTGTGGGTGTTTCAGTGAAGTCAGAAAAGGGTGCAAGATTTATCCAGGACTAGAGTTAAAGGTGGTCCCGATGTGGGTTCTGGGATTTGAACCCTGGTCCTCAGGGAAAGCAGCAAGCACTCTTAACCATGGAGCCACCCCTCCAGCTAAACTATGCCTGTCCTTCTTACCTGGTATTATGGAAAAGCTCCCGGCTGTGTATCCTTGCCTCTTTGGAAACCCAGAACAACCAGGTGAGGTGGAAGGAGAAAGCTTCTCTTACTTGTGTAAGGATGAGGAAGCGGATGTTTAAGATGGCCACGTGGTGTGCCCATGTGCCTCTCATAGAATAATGGGACTTTGTGGGGGGGGGGGAATACAGTGATTGGCTATGGGAGAGAATTCTGGGGATAGTCAGCACCTCAGACTGGAACTATGCAGTCTACCGGATACCAGGGATCCCCGTGCTTAGAAGCACACAGTGGTTTCCGAGTGCTGTGGTTCCCTCTCACAAGACAGGGCTTGGAACCCAGACTCTGAAGCAGTCTCAGCCCTGCCATTTCTAGTTGGATAAGATTGAAGGAGTGACCTCAACTGTTGCATGAGTTGTCTTGCTACTGTGACCAAATCCCCAGCAAGATGCAAACCAAGGGAGGAGGGCTTTATCTGGCTCGCGCTTGGAACCCACCACGGTGGGGAAAAGCCTGGCGGCTCCTGTGAGGCAGCTGGTCCTGTTCCGTCATAGTCAGAAGCAAAGGGAGAGAAAGGTTTGCTGCCGCTCACCATTCATTCATTCATTCATTCATTCATTCATTTATAAATCTTTTCTCCAAAGTCTGAGACTGCAGGTCCTTGGGACAATTCTATCCATACCCAAGAGGAGTCTTCCTTTTGCCATTCAACCTTCTGGAGACACCTTTATAGACAGAGAGACATGTCTCCATACTGCTTCAAGTCCGGTCAAGTACCCAGTGTAGAACCATCCTTCCTGGCAGACCTTCCATTTCAATGTCTTCCGTGAGAACCCATTACCACCAGACCAGTCTTACACGAAATTCTACAGAGACTGAATATTTTGGGTTTAAACAGACTGCCTGGGAGGATTAACAGAATTGTCATGGTATAGGGGCTACAAAGCAGTCTGGGAAATAGTTTAGTAAAGAAAATCCGTTATTGTGAAAGGCTAAAAGCATAGCCTCTGGGATCAGATGGAGCTGGGCATGAAGCTCAACTCTGCCACTTTTTAATTGGATGACCTCAGGGGAGGAACTAAATCCTGCCTCGGTCTCTCTACCTGAGAAATGGAGACATGAATGCATATTCCACATGACCGTTGTGAGGGTTAAATCCATCATGACTCATGGGGGACTTAGCTCAGGGTCTAGTTCATTATAAATGTCCATCCGATGGCTGATGCTGTTGACGCCACTGCCTGGTCACTCCGGTCCAGTCATCATGAACTAATGCCTGCTCTTGGATCTTGGTTGACTCAGCCCTGGATGCAGAGGGTCCAAAGAGAAGACATACGCCATTTTCTGAAGGACTTCACAGCCCAACTCATCCTCTGCCCTATTTTGCCTACCTGTGTTTCTTCTATTTTGTCACATGGACTTAAACATGAGGGCTGGCTTCTCTAATATGATTCCAACTCCGCTCCTCTGTCATTTTGTACAGTAGAGCCTTCTCTGCCCACCTCTGCTTCCTTCACAGGGCTCCACTCTCTGTGTTCCCAGGGGCCAATGAGCCACCCCAGGAGCTGAGACACATCCACGTGTTGGTTAGTGAATACACAGGCGTGGCACAACTGGCCTTCCTGGCCCTCCCCCCAGAGCTGAGGACGAACCCAGGGCCTTGTGCTTGTGAGGCAAGTGCTCTACCACTGAGCTAAATCCTCAACCCCACAACTGATCTTTATCCACTGGAAGGCATTGCTAATTCTGATGTGAACTCCTGGGACCAGACTTCAGAATCTTCCCCAATACCAACATTCCTGGGGACTTGATGCTGACACCATAGTAAAAGCATCCACTCCTAGAGGGTGCTTCCATACCTAATGGTGTTATCCTTTCCTTTGTGAAAGGAGAGATGGGGCTGAAGGGATTCTAGAATCTGTAAACCTAGGCATCCCTACAGCCGCAGCTGAAGAGATTTCTATGCTTCTGTGTCCTTCAGGCAGCATACCTAGCCATAAAGATGGCATCTTTCTGAGTTCTAATTCAGCCTTGTTAGCAATGCTGTGTTACCTTGGGGAAAATCCTTCACCTCTCTGTGCCCAGTACTTCTCTGACCACAGCGGAGCTAATCACCATCTACCTGCAGGGAGGGACTTCAGAGACCTGGACAGTCTAATCCCATTTCCAAAAGTCCAGCGAACAGTTGAAAGAGTCAAATAATTACAGAGATAATGGGAAATATGGTAATGAGCCCAATCTGTCTTTGTGACCTTACACAGGACCTCACTAACACCATTCAAATTATGGGATTCCTTATTTCCTCAGACAGGGGTTTAGGGAGAAGGAGAAGTCAAGCTAGTACTCCCCAGGGTTTGCTGATTGCCACATCTTGAAAGTTCTACCTTGCCTCTAATCTGAATTCTGCCTCTGCCGTCCATCCTCTTCTAAACCCGACATGTCCTTGAGTGAATGTGGATGAACCAGGACCCTCCAGTCCATGATTGCATAGTCTCTTGTTCGTCTCTTTGCTGTGTCCCCAACATCCGGTACAGAGCTGGAACACAGTAGGTATTCTGGTTTAATGAGCACATCCCATGTCAGACAGACAGCTAACTGCACGAGCATTCATGTCACACTAGCTTAAAGGCAGTGGGGTGTGCACCACACCTCCACATTCCAGCCGGATGACACTCACAGTGTTTCCTGGTGCTGCTGCATATCCCTGCAACTAAAATCTGATGGGATAAAAGAATGAAACTTTTTATGTTCTGTATGCATGTTGGACTGTGTATACCAGTAATAACAGTACACAGCTAGAACAGTATGGGAATGTGTAAGATTCAGCATCAGGTACCCTTTAAGTGGTTTGCGAATATTATTCACTCATTTCGTGATCGAAAAGCCCCTGTGAACTGAAGTCTGCTGTTAGTCAGGAAATGGTTGCACAGAGAATTGAAGTAAGCTGTCTAAGGACACACAGCAGCACAAGGACAGCCGGCATATAAACCCAGTCAGTCTGACTCCGAGAGTCCGTACAATTTAGCAACACCCCCCCCCCCACATACCCAATGGCCTGGAATGTGGATTTTGTGTTCCCAAATGGCATCAAATCTTGTGCAAGTGTGCACTGAGCCTAGCACTTAGGTGGGGACAAAAATAGGCGCTGTTCTTGTGGAGTTACAGTCCAGTGGTGGGGTTTTGTTAAATGTTAAACAAACAAACAAAAAACACCGTGCCTCAGGGTAAAATAAAGTGAAGCTGGAGATCTGGGTCATCTACCAAGCTGCGCGTCAGGAGGCGAAAACTCTGTGTTCAGTGGCATCTAAACTGGGGACGAAGCTGCAGAGCAAGGGGAGGGTTCAGACACACGTGGGGGAAATGCTGGGTGCACCCAGAGATTGTGGCAGAAAAGAACGCAGCCGAGAGAGCCGGCAATGGAAGCGCATGCGTGATCCATGCAATGAAATTGGAGTACAAGCCTCCTTTTACACTTGAGCAGAACAATCAGAGAGCCATGTTTTTTCTTAGATCTATTTATTTATTATGTATACAGTATTCTGGCTGCGCGTATGCCTG